TCAAAATAGATCAAAGATCCAAACATTAGAACAGACACAATCTGCTAGAAGACAAAATAAGTAAAACTCTTGAAGACATAGATTTAGGTAAAGACTATGAACAAAACCCCGATGGTACAAGAAATAATACCAAGATTCAACAAATGAGACCGCATCAAATTCAAAAGCTTCTGCACAGCACAGGAAACCACTAACAGAGTGAAAAGACAACCTAAAGAATGGAAAGAATTTTTGCCAGCTACTCTTCAAACAAAGGACTACTATCTACAATATATAAAGAACTCAAAAAAAATTAGACCTCCCAAATTTAAAGACTCAATTTTAAAAAATGGGCATCTGAGATGAACTGATACTTCTTAGATAAAGTAATACAAACAGCCAATTCATACATGAAAAAATGTTCAACATCTCTGCCATTTGCAAACTGCAAATTAATACAACACTGAGATTCCATCTCACCCCAGAAAGAATAGCTCCCATCAAGAAATCAGCCAGCAACAAATTCTGGCAAGACTGTGGGGGAGAAAGGAACCCTTCATTGTTGGTGAGAATATAAACTGATACAACCACTATAGAAATCACTAGGGAGATTCCTCAAAAAACTAAAAGTAGAAATTCCATTTGACCCAGCTATTCCCCTTCTAAATATCATCCCAAAAGAGCTAAAGACATATCACAGTGATGTGTGCATATCCATATTTATAGCAGCACAATTCATAATAGCTAAATCTTGGAAACAGCCTTAATGTCCATCAATAGATGAATGGATAAAAAATTGTAGTATTAAAAAAAATGTAGTATTTATACACAATGGAGTGCTGCTTTGCCATAAAGAAGGATAAACTTGAGTTATCTGTTGGAAAATGTATGCACCTTGAGACCATTATGTTAAGTGAAGTAACTCAAGACACACAAGCTTAAGCCTTGCATGATTTCTCTTATGTGGAAAATTCCATATATGTAAAGTACTAAAAGAAGACATATAATGGAAAAAAAGAGAATTAAAAAAAATATTGTAATCCCGCACAGACAATGTATCTAAAAGTGTACCTTGACTTAGTACAACTGTGTTACATGTTTTATATGTTCTTTGACGTATTAGTTTGGTTTTCAATCTGTATATATGATAATTAACTTTATAATGTCTTATAAAATAAATAAATGACTGATGCTTGAAAAGTAAAAGGGGGATGGAGGGGAGGGGAAAGGAAATTAAAATTTGTTATGTGCATGTACCAAATCCCCCACGGTGAACGTAATCATTATGTACTATAAACATGTACTAATAAAAGTAAACAAAACAAAACAAAACAAAATACAAGGCCCTGCTGCTTGAACTTCACAGTTCACCCACCTCCTTGGGTGCCCAGTGTGGCTCCCAGACCAGCAGCGCAAGGGCCTGACAGCTTGTTAGAAATGCAAAACTGCTGGCCCTCCTCAAACTTCCAGCAGAATCACATTTCAACAAAACTCCCAGTTGATCAGTATGTAATTAAAACGGGATAAGCCCTAGTCTAATTAGAATCACTTGGGAAGCTTTTTTTTTTGTACCAGAGATTGAACTCGGGACCTTGTACTTACAAGGCAGGCGGCAGCACCACTGAGCTAAATCCCCGGCCCATTTGGGAAGCTTTTTAAAGCTACAAATTTCACCTCAGAACAAATAAAGTAGAATCTCTGGGTGGGGGGTGTAGGCCTGGGTATTTCCACGGGGATCTGATGTGAAATTTGGACTGGGAACCACTGATGTCACCCCTTTTACTCCTGTCCTGCTCCCTCTTTTTCAGGACCCCATCTCTGAAGAGATGTGCAGTTCTGCAACCAGTCAAGGGTGTGTAAATAGAGTAACTGCATCTCCTGGTTGACCAAGGAGAGTCTCAGTATAAGTACTAATGCCACCCGCTTTCACTCTCAAAAGTATTCTGGTTTAGACAAATTGCATGTTTTCTCCATATAAAAAATGGCTCTATATTCTATTTCTGGATTGTAAAATCTTAAGAACAGGTAGAACAAAATGATTGATGGTCTTTGGTTTGACAGATGAGTCAAATATAGAGGGACTTCTGATGCTTAGATATTAATCCTTAAAGTCTTCTAGATACAGCTTATCAGAAATATATATAAATTCCTCAGTTGCGAGGAAGGCTGGGGAGAGGCAGGTGCCTTTCAAGGACTGGGGTGGTAAGGGATGTGATTTTATTTTACAATAAAAGTGCCAAAGCCAATGGTAGATTGGCCCCAAGCTGATCATCAGTCTGTGATTATCCTAGTCCTTAACAAAACTTTTCTTTTTGGGACTTCTGTTGTTCATTAGCTACTCCACCCATGGCTCAGAGGGATGAACAAAAAGGTAAGGAAAATATTGAGCAGCCCTACTAATAAGTTTGGTGGGAAGGAAAATGGAAATAATCATACTGTTTGTGATTACCTGTAAATTTAAACCCTCTGGCGCATCCTCTTTTCCAAATTATTACCAGCTGGTTTGAGAACTCATTGAAGGACTACTGATTACCAGTAAAATTAAAGTAATCTTGTATTGTTAAAACTCGTATAATCCTCTGGCAATTGGCCTTTGGATGCTTCCTTCCTGACTTGCTAGGACACAGAGGGAGGACAAAGCAAACACCTTATATCCTAAGGGTCTTCCCCAACTCCTTCCTCCTCTTGCAACCGATTCATAGGTAAATATGGACAGAATATTTTTAAATATTTTTATGTAAGAAACTATATGATGCAAACTAAAAACAAATGGCACTATCACTTATATAAAAGGACACAAATGGAAAATCTACATGTAGGGGTAGAGATTCATGCACATAGTGATTATAACACAAGTTTTCCTAGTTGAATCACTAGGATAGTTACAAATACTTTCACAAGGCAACCAGTATAAATGTTCAAAGTGTGTGTTCACATCTGTTTAAAATGCCTGAAACAGAAAGATTCATGTGCAAAGTAGAATGGTCAGATGCTGATAGGTCAGTTGAAAGGAAATCTCTATCCTTGCAAAATAATGTGAACGTAGATCACTACTTAATTAGGGTAGATAAACTACATAATTATTTGGAATAAGATCATCGCTGGAATCTCTGCAGATTAGAGAGTTTCTTTAATGTCTGAGTGTGTGCTTATGCATGGGAGTACTCTTTGCTTTATGGTAACAGCTGCAAATAAGAACAAGATGAAAATCTGGGAGTTCTATCTGCAGCTGAGAAAGCAACACAAGCTTGTCTTCGCTGTTAGGCCCAGGATCACTAATAACACCAGAAGCTTCAGAGTATGTCTTATCTTTAATCCCTGTTAACAGTTAACCAAAGACTTTTCCTTACAGAGCTCTTGGAAGGCAGAACCAGGTGGTCCTGAAAAGCCACATTTACAAAGAGCTACAAAATGCTCCAATGGGAAGGGCCCAGGTAAAGCTGAGCAGTAATTAACACAGGAAAGACTGCTGAATGCTCTTCCTTTCTTTTAGGTACATATATATATAAAATGGAGTTCTGTTTTCATATAGATTCTTTAGATCCTGTGCTACATATCTGAGATGCACCTAGGTTCTAGGTCTGGGAAAACTCTTACTTATAATTAGGCAGAGATCAGAAGAATAATATCAATGAAGGGATTCCCCAGCCATTCACATTGGCACACTACTTCAGCAAGATGGAAAATATGCAGCAATGAGAACTAAAATAAGCATGATATATGCTTTCTTTACCCACACAACCTTGTAAAAGCAGGGGTATAGAGGTTTTTTATTTCAAAGAAAGCCTTTTAAAAAGTACCAGTTTGCCTTATGGACCACCTCAGAGTCATAGAGGCAGAAAGTCATCTGTGTATAGAATAGTTTTCAAACTTGCCTAAAGGTATGGACCCAGACCAGGAAGGAAGACAAATAAAAACAAGCAAGTATTATAATCACTTACCTTCTGCAAATAGGGAAAAGGATGTAGAGAGAAAGAGCCTCAGGTCAGAGTGAGTCAGAGCCAGAGAGGCCAGAATTATCATTCCTCACCCTGTGGGAAGCTCTGGGCTTCCAGGCCTTGCTTTAATTTCCCTTCCCAACATGGGACATAGAAGAGAGTTTTATTTGGAAAGAGAGGGTAAGACCCTTCTGGCATGATTTGGTACTTCTTGGGTGAAATACACTCACTAACAAATTATTTTGGCAGAGCATGGCCCAATCTCCTGCATGGAAAGCCTGTGATCGTGAGAGGAAGGGCCAATGACTGGATGCTGCCGTGTATGCTGCCCACTCATGCTGCTGGAGCCCTGAGCACAGCTCTGGGGCCTTTGCTTCTCCACTGGGACCATCTTACTCCAGACACGTCTTTTGGTGACAGGGTCAGAGGTAAGGATCAGATGTAATTAGTGCCATCTTTACCAAGTTCTTTAAAATTCTTTGAAGAAGGAAACTATGAAAAACAAACTTAAACTACAGACAAAGAAAACTCTGGTGTCTTATTCCATCCAGGGCAAGTTATAGTTGAAAATTTTGAACAACTCTACAATGAGGAGTACATTACTTTGTATCTTTTTCAAAAAGGAGTGTTGCAGATGTTTCAGCCAAAAGAACCATACCACTGAGAACCACGAAAAACCCAGATTGAAATAAAGACCAAGGAGACAGGAGCATCCAGCAATATAGCACAATATGCTTAATATTAGAATGGGTTCTTTGTGGCATTAATATTGTCTGGAGCTTAAATGACTGTGGGAGTAGGGGGGGCTCATGGTTAATTTAGTTATTGCTGCAACAATCTCAGAGGAAGCCCAGAATCACATGTATATTAGGTCAAAATCCAACTAGAATTTTCAAACACCTGGAGAGTCACAATGCTAGTTGGAACTCATTACAGATAATAGAAGGCAACTTTTCTATCTCAAACACTAAGCTTGCCTTCACCCAAAGCTAACGATGCACCTTTTTGCTACAGACCTACTGGAGCTCCTAAGTTTTCCCAGAGTGGTGAGACAACAGGCCCAAGATCCCAGCTGTTTTGTACCTGTGGCTCCTGGTCATGACCACTGGGATCCCTTTCGTAGCTCTCTGCATACAGCCTGATGGTGGCCCGCACACCACTGGAGGAGCTGAGCCGGAAGATGAGCCGTGATGCATCCGAGAAAATGATCCTCAGGCCCTGAGCCAGAAAATTTGCAAAATGGATCCATGAGCAAATTAATATACAGGTAGCAATAACTAGTTCCTATTGTGGAAATCAGCATGGATCTATGATCTAAAAACCATCAAGTCAGGTGCAACCACTGTGGAAATCAGTATGGAGATACCTCAAAGAACTAAGACTGGAAGTCCCATTTGACCCAGCTATTCCCCTGCTGGGGATCTTCCCCAAAGAATTAAAAGAGTCATACCACAGTGATATATGTGCACCCATGTTCATAGCAGAAAATTTGTAATAGCTAAAGCTTGGAAACAGCCCAATTACACATCAACTGGAGACTGGATCAAGAAAATGTGGTTTTTTAATAAAATGGAGTACTACTCAGCCACAAAAAATGAGAAATCAGAGACATTTATAGCTAAATCGATGCACACTGAGGTGATACTCTTAAGTGAAATAAATAGGACACACATGTGTAAATACCGAATAGTTTCTCTAGTGTGAGAAACTGAAAGTGTAAATAAGGATGAAAGGTATAATGGATAATGTGAAATAGGAAGAGAAGGGGCAAAGGGGAAGGGGAAGTGAGAGGGCTAGGGGAAAGGAAAGAAGGGAATGGAATTAATATGAGAAAATGGAAAAATGGAAACAAAGTCTTTGTAAATAGGGAGGGGATGGAGGGGTTGAAGGGAGGGCAGGGGAAGGGGCAAAAATAAGAACCAAGAGAGACTATGTAAAGGTGCAAATTTCCAATGATGAATGTCACTATATTGTATACCCAAAATGTACCAATAAAATTAATTTTTAAAAAATTAATTTAAAGGCTGGGGATTTAGCTCCATGGTTTCACCGCCTGCTGCACAAGCGCAAGGACCCGAGTTTGATCCCCGGTACAAAAAAAAAAGATTAATTTAAAAAATAAAATAAAATAAAAACCATCAAGTCATGACAGTTTATGGACACTCATCCAATTAGGACAGTATGGTAAACCTAAAAGCTACTTGAGGTTACCCATGTGTCTCTTTATTCTATTTATGTTTCTTTGTGGTTAATATTGGCAGAGGATTTGGAGCAAAACTATTAACAGATGCTCAAGTTTCCTTGGTCTGGTGATGTAGGAATCAAAAAGAAGCAGAGGCAGCAAGGATAGGATGATATATAATAAATGTTTCTTGGGTCAAAGTTCTTCACTTAAAAGTCTTGTGACTATAATAGGGTAGGCAATTTATCTATTACAGTAAAAAAAATTTACCCGATTTAATGTGAGACTTTGTCTCCCTCCTCCACTGCCCCACATTCATCTGGTAGCAGCAGAACTCTACAACAAAATGCTCAGGACTGGAACCTCATCCTCTTGGTTCTCTCCTGCTTTAGACATTTCCCCTAAGCAATTTATCCTTGAAACTTCTCTTGCCTCAAATCCTGCTTGTTAAGAATTAGCAATGAGGGCCGGGGGTTTAGTTCAGTGGTTCTGCCACCTGCCTCATAAGCACAAGGTCCCAAGTTCGATCCCCAGTACCAAAAAGAAAAAGGAATAAGCGATGATTAAGTTCATATTATACCTTTATACCTGCTGCATAAATTTGACTGCTATTGCCTTACTCCAAATTCCGTCTGATAAAATCTCATGGGGAAAGGGACATGATGATTCCATCTAAATGGTTTTCTACTTTTCTACATTTTATAGACACATTTTGTTCTAATCCCCAAACAAAAAGCTTAAGTTTCTTTTAGAGTGGTTCAATAAAAGCAAAAGGGAGCCAGCTCCTTTATTGGCAATCAGTTACTCTGGCTGGCTATGCAAATAGGATGATGTTTCCTAGGATTCATTAACTAAACAAATCTTTTAGAATGGCCCTTATAGATTAGGTACTGGGCTAAGCCCTGGTTAGGTGAAGATAAAGACACTCTATATATTAAAAAAAAAAAGACACTATATATGCCCTCCATAAGTCTAGTGTGGTCTCTTATGATCATCAAAATTATCAGAAACCATTTTCTTAACTACCTTTTGCTGCCAGAGAAATATTCAACACAATTACAAATGGACCAAAAGAACTAATTATCTACTACTATCCAAAAGCATCACATACTAAATTATGTTCAAAATGAAAATAAAGCCCCAACAGTTCCACAATTCTGCTCACAGCAGTGATTTTACAAACTTTTGAGGCTATTGTTGATATTTAAGCTGACATACCTATTGTCACTACACAGCAGACCCTTGACTTACGAACTTGATCGGTTCCTGAGGGCTGGTTGTAGCTAAGTCAGTACAACTGAGACCTGGATGTTTACCTGGGTACACGCTATAGACAACAAGAGCCAGATGAATCTTCCATGTTCATATGTTAGGCTGGTCGTAACTTGGGGGTCCACTGTATATGAGACAACCGAGTATATAACTCATTCTATGGTTGAAGCCCCAACACACCCACTGTTGTAGATTCCAAATCACTTGGAGCCACCTCTTCTGATAACCTCTTGGATTCAACCCTTTAAGGTAACATCTACTACACAACAAACACCTAGATCCGTTTACAGCCAGTGGGAAGTATTTCAGAATAAAAACATCAACATTTTTATCTGCTCATAACTAAACTTTTTTTTACAATAAAGTAATGCTATCTTTTCCCTAAGGGTAGCCATAGTATCTTCAGTTACATTACATACTACACTCACATGTAGATTGTTAGAATCTACATTGGGTAGGCACAAATGTTTTGCACTTCGAAAGATAAAAGAGTGAATATCACATATCAACCTATTGAAAACATCCCAGCATCTCCTTTCTTTCCTAGAAAACCAACCATGAGAACTTAATTGAGAATCCACGTTGCTTAGGAGACTACCAAAGGTGACAAACATCACAGTTCTCCTTCTCCACAGGGAATGCAAGAATTTTTGGACACATCATATCCCAGTTTTGTGCTGCAACAATCTCAGATACATGTCTGCTCAGTACCACTCTGAAGTATGAATAGTTGTACTGCATTGTTTTGAGAGCTGCATGTTTCCTAAAGAAGGCTAATGAATTTGCAACCCAAACATGAGCCGGGTTCTTTCCAGCATGAATCATCACCTACTATCAATTAAACCATGGGGCCAAAGTCACCACTGACCAAGACTTGCCAAGTTTCTAACTTCTTTAATTTTAACAAAAGAATATCAATAAGCTTTACATTTATTTTTTAGGTTATACCAGGGGTTGGCAATATGTGACCTGTAGGTAGAATTTGATGTGCCACCTGTTTTTATAAATCAACCATGCCCTTCAGTTACATATTACCTATGGCTGCCTTTTATGCAACCATGACAGAGACCAACTGGCCTACAAAGTCTAAAGAATTTACTACCTAGTCCTTTACTGACCCACGATGTAAAACATTACATTATCCACAGCATAGAATATTTATCCTTTAACCCTACAGCAGGAAATAGAAAAGATAATCATCTGCCTTACAAAAATCTTGGTTGAGAAATTCTGTTTATGGAGAATGTTATCCAATCCCTCCATTTCCCAAGTTTTCCAGCTTCTAGCCATAGATTGATATGGACTCTTTTGTGTTCTAAATGACTGTACTTCTGACCAACCACTCCCAAACAAAATGGATTGATGATATTGCATTTTATATCACAGTCTCACTTCTATTGCAGGATGATACAAGGTACTGTCATATAAAGTCAACTTCTGTAGTCACTACAGGACTATTAGAGATGGTAGGAAGCTCCATTTGACACAATTCTTCAAGAGGCAAATGTTAGGAAAGCCTTTCCTTCCCTGAGGAACTAGTCTTTTTCTTTCTGACAATAAGTATTCTGTAACCAACTGTATTTCCCTTTTCAATATGGTTGCCAGGATACTTGATGCTAAATTTGAAGTTCAGTCCAAGTGGGTCCTTATGACTTGCATAACTATGAATTTTCCTTCTTCTGTTCTTGACTCTCAAATTTATATATTCCTTAATCTTGATTTCTTTTTCTTATTTATATTCTAACAACTTCATTATGTGTTTTTGCTGCCACAAATCCTCTTGAAGAAATATTGCTCAAAATAAATTAACAAAGCAAGTTCCCATTGCTGCCTTAACCCTGAGATATTTGTAATTGCTGAGTTTTGTCTTGGGCCTTTTATTCACTGACAAACTCTGGGAGGGCAGAGCCTTACAGACCTGTTTACTTCCATTTTATCCACAAAGCCTCGGACAGTGGCCGGCACACAGTAAGTCCTCTATAAACACTCGCTGAATGAAAGTTTCTGTGTGTTCAACAACTGGAATGAGGAGGACTGGAGGCCCCACCAAGGCTCTCTCTGCAGTCTCCCATCACCCTGGCGAGGACCCACAGGCCAAATGCAAGCACCATTGCATTTCTCATGGTGAACTGGGGTGAATGCACCAGCCCTGAAGGGGAGGTGTGGAAACAGGAATAATAAATAGAAATTGCCTGCCACATCATCTTATAGCAGCTTCTCTACTGTATCTACTCATCTTTCATTTCCCATCATGTCCTAAAGTCAAGGTCAGGTGTGGCCAAAAATAAAGTTGAACCAAGGTATATTCCCACTCCTGAGTGCATTATCTTGGATGAGTTGCAGACTTTACTACATATTATAAGTAGCTTCTTGTAGCAGATTGTCCCTAACGGGATAGTCATGCACACACCACCAATGGTTCAAGTCTGCAGGAACATGTTAAAAATGGTGGTACCAGGATCTCAACCCAGATGTTTTGCTTTAATTTATGTGGGGCTTCATGTGGGCCCTGGAATTTTGAAAGCTCTCTAGTGATTCTGTTACAGTCAGAAAGGGGATCACCACAGTGGCCTCTTTCCTCTGGGTCACCTGCCTCATCTATCAAGTGCCTAGATGGGTTACACTAGTCTTAAGAAAGGTCTCTTTTGGGTCTAAGATTTCATGCACACATTACCATCTGACTGCAATCCTAGGAGGGCCATAACACAGCAGGGCTAATAAAACAACATCATGCTACTGAGTCCTGAAAGCTTCTGCATAGGGC